AACAGTCAGAGGTGTGAGGAACGCTGGTGTAAAACTGCCTGAATTGGTTGGCTCACAGCTTCTGCATGCTGGGCTGTTACCAAGCTAGCTCCCTTCTGTGCTGCATTTAAGCTAGTAGATGAAGCCAGCTCATCCAAGAACAGCTTTGTTTCACGAGGTGGGCAGCTATTGCCTCCTCAGCATGGCAGCTCAGCTCTAGCAGCACTCCTTACAGCATACCCATGTGCCTTACAGCAGTGCCCATGTTCAGGAGTTCTTGACACTGTATTTGTGTAGACTTAATTCTCCTCCTCTCACTCCAATGAAAGATAGCAAAGTCACTTATGAATTATTTGGTTTGCTCATTTTCCTAAAACATACAATTGCATTTACAGAGATTACTCCAGAAATTTGACAGCACCCATTAATATTTTTCTGTTATGTATTCAGGGATGGAATGCTCTATGCGGTCTGCCTGAAAATCAGAATGAGCAATAATAAAGGCAAATGCTTTTCAGGAGATAAAGAGACTCCTGCATTTGGCTGAAATGATAGGGACACAGATACTGACTTAAATAGGCTCTGAGGACACCTGGAGACAAATCCTTGTTAGTTGTTAGTTATGCAAAGCTCATCTGTGGAAACCTGCTCTCCTTGCATTGATCTTCTCAGTACTTTGGTGGAAGTGATAGGCCCTGACCTTTGCAATGAAGATTATATTCTATGGAGGAGAAGCACATGGTTTTATATTTGTGGTTACACTAGCATGGTTCTACAGTCCCATTTATTATCTGAACTAGCTAGGCTACAAGACGCAGGTACTGGCAATGCTATGGTGTTGGAGGACATAATAGCTGCAGGTACACAGTTCTTCCTGGAAAAAACACAAAACCAAACAAACTGGGAATCTTAACTATTCATGAATAATCATTTGTAGTGGATTTAATGTGCACAGTATTTTTCCAAACAGCTCTTATCCTTCACTACCACTGCTGGGGTGACGCTGCACAGCACAGGGACCACGACTGATGGAGCTGGAGTAAGGAAGACATCAACATATAGACCTGTTGTTGAGGCTTCCACCTTGCAGCATGGGACAGCGGTTCCCAAAAACTCTTGGGGGAGAGCGACAAAATTCTGTGCTGCTGCACGCATAAAGAAAACAAAACAAGAAAGTGCAACTAGATGGTGGAAGGGAGGTGGTTGAGTCACCATCCCTGCATGTGTTTAAAACTGTTTGGATCTGGTGCTCAGGGACGTGATTTAGCAGATGGTTGTTAGAGTTAGGGTAGGATGGTTAGGTTGGGGTTGGACTTGATCTTTGAGGTCTTTTCCAACCTGAGCAATTCTATGATTCCATGATTCTAAGGCAGGGAACACCACCTGTCATTCCTGCCAAAGAAGGAAGAATGCCTGGGACTTTTCAGTATTTGAGTGCTCTTACCTTTACACTACTGCATCAGAGTAGAGCATCCTATTGTCCAACAGCCATGTCATACATAAGAATCGACCCCCACTGGAGTTTTTCTAAGCTTTGGAGCAGCTGGGGCTGCGCAAAGGGAGGTCCATCTTCCAGCCTTCACAAAGATTCCAGCCTTGTTGGCCACAGGGACTTCTTACTCAGCTTGATGAACCTATTCTGAGATTTTGGCTTCTCCCCAGGCTCTCTAGGAAGGCTTGTGGATAGCACCTTATGTCTTAGGCCCCCATGAGTCAGGTAGGCAGAACTGAGGGACTCTGAAAGTAGAGAAAAGTAACAGGCATTCTGATAATGTTTTCTGCAGCTCACTGTATTCAGCAAAGGGCATTTGACACACAGAGTCTTCTTACACAGAGACTAAATGCACGTGGAGGAGATTGTAAAGGGATGTAATGAGATTTCCATTGGCCTGGGAGGTTGGAGCTGTGATTAATACCAATTTGCACATCTGTTATGAATTTGATGCCAGCACAGACAATAGAATTCCTTGCATTTGTGGTTCCAGACGGCGAGCTACCAGCATGCCTCATACAAAGGCAGAGACATGGGCTCAGCTTTCAGCAATAGTTTGCCATGTGGAGGTTGGAACTAGAAGATCTATAGCGTCCCCTTCAATGCAAGCCATTCTATGATCACAGAACCTGCAGGCAGGGACGAGCTGCTCTCTTTACCACAGAAAGCTCTGGCTCATCTCATGAACTACATGACACACCTGGTCCTGCCAAAAAGATGTGACAGCAGCTTTGAGCCCATTGCACATGGAAGCAGCCTTACAGCAGACCTGGGGGGCAAAGGCTCGCATAGCAGCTGGCCAGGCAGCTATCAAAACGTCTAACAGAAGGGAAGAGCATGTTCCTCCAAGTGGATGAAATGCTCCTTTTCCCAGCTCAAAAAAATAAAAGGAGGGAAGAAAAAAAAAAAAATTAACTGAACTGGCAAAATGTTTTTTAATCTGAATCAGCATGTGATTCAGTTATTATGTTCTGAAGAGGACTGGAAAGGAAAGAAATTCAAATTGTTCTGAAAGGGGGAGCAGGGAAGCATTCACAACTCAGGCCATAATGGGACCTTTTTTTTTGGCACTGAAACGCTCTGAGTGGCATTATTTTACTTTTGTCACATTGCCACCACAATATAACCCAGATATTACCTGGGGGTTGGTACAGGTAGTACTTCTGAAGCATGGGAGGAAAAGAAGAATACAGTATTCTCCTCTCATCCCATAGTTTGAGACACCCTACAGAGCTGCCAGTGGATAAAACTGTTAGAAGTCATTTGTGTTGGAACTGCTCCATTTACTGCATGAGCATCACTCCTTGGTCCCCATTTATTGGTTTAGATTATGTTTTCCTATTAAATCTCTTAAAGTAGATAACACAACTCCATATTTCCCAAAGAGAAATAGCAACACTTGCTTGTTTTGTGCTGTATGTACAACAATGTGGCAATCCCCCCCACGCCACAGACACAGCCCCACAGCCACCCTGAGACTTCAGCTTCACGGCCACGCAGGGGTCAACCTGCACCTGCATGGTGGCCTTTTGTCAATCTTCTTTAGTCAGCAACAGCTATAGCATGTTTGAAAATCCCAGTTAATGGCCAAAGCCCATTTGCAGCTGTATTTTGAGCACCAATTCCAAATGACATGGGTTTTTAAACCACGCAGCCTGTTCCAAGCTGACCTTATATTTCTCTAGCTGCCAAACCAAAGCCTTGTGAAAAGAAAGGAGATCCTGGGCACCTTGCTGGAACAGACATGGACATGGTCACCACACAGAGTGTGGATGGTGAAGCACAGGCAGCTCTGTCAGCACCTTCCACACGTGAAGCTCTCATTGAGAGCTGAAATGGCTGGCAGAGAGCCATGCCTTGCATAGTAGGTGTCAGCAGGTCCATTATTCCTCCTTCCCTACAACAGCAACACCAGCTGTCACTTGTCTCCCGAGTCAAAATATTTCCATGCCTATCAGTAGCCAGTAATTGATGTGAAATCAGTGAACCTCCTTGCAAAGTTCGTCCTATATTTGCTAAAGCTAGACATCAGGCAGCAGAGTGCAAGTCTAATGAGAAGCTCTCAGCTAATAAAATCAAGTTTCCTTCAGCAATGGATGAGCACGCATGACTATCCATAGTATCCTAATTATTGTAATTTACTCAATCTGCCCTATTAAGAAGCATTTTTCTGCCTGGGGACTTTCTAATCATGGAATTAATTTGTCATTTTTACCATTATAAAATATTGCTCCCATGACATTGTTCAGATTTACAGCCCTAAGTGTGGAGAGAAGAGAGGAGATAAGAAGAAAATTGTGAAAAAAGGTTTTGCTCCTTACTTCTATGCTTTCTGAAGAGCCTTTTAAGCGTCTAACACGGAGAGAGAGAGGGGGAAAAAAAAAAAAGAAAGGACTATTGTGTTAAAAGAAACTCCAGTTAATGAATTGTAGGACTACAGATCAACTTTTTCCATAGAAGAGGTGAATCCCTGTTATAATTCCACTGATTCCAGGGGCAATGTATCAGAGTACTAACAACCTCCTGGAAGTCAAAAGTGCATCTGAATACATCCCCTGATTTCCAACAGATTGCCATACGATGCGAGTGCCTGCATCTTTCCATCTGGAAGTGATCTGCTTGGTTCTGAGCTCCGGAGGGAAGGCGGGGTACTTCTTGTAGTAGCTCCTTTTAGTAACTTGAGCACAACTTGTACAGTGTGCCACTACAGCATCATAACACATGGCACGCAGCATAAAGCTGAGCAGTGACAACAGACACGGAGAGCTGAAGCAAAGATGTAACTCAGCACCTCTTTCATCTGTTCTCTACCATCACATACTGTGAGGGTGATGTTTGTTTTGGGGAGATGAATGAATACACTTCTCACATCATTCAGCGGCTTTCAATCCTGAATCGTTTGCCTGCTACATTCTAACAATGATCCTGCATCCTCCTCACAAATTTAAAAGAAAACCAAGCCAATTAACTAATTAGAGCTAATCCCTGTTTTTGTTGGTTAAACACACACACACACACACACACACACACACACACACACACACACAACACACACAACACACACACAACACACACACAACACACACACAACACACACACAACACACACACAACACACACACAACACACACACACACAAAACCTTCTTGCTTGTGTGCAATGTTTGTTGCAGCTGGGAAATTGAAAAGAAATTCTTTGCGTCAAGAGATGGCTAATAAGAAATCGCACAAAAGATGTGTTAAACTACAGCACACTTTTGATAAAAGATGCACGTATATGTGCAATGCCACTTTAGAAAAATATTACCACCCCCTCTTGTAAGGGAATACGATTGCTAAGATCTGCAAGTCTGAACTCCAAAACCTGCAACTCGTCGTTTTCCAGTTAAATGCCTCGCATATACTGTCAGGTGTCTTCGCAGGGCAAATGCCACCTATATCTGGGATAAAACATTAATAATCCCAGCTGCCTGCTTGCAGAGGCACTGAGATGCACTAAAGCTTGTGAGAAAAGCAATGCACCAGCTGTACCTTAAAGGAGTAGTAAAAGGATTTCCACTCCTCTTCCTCCAGCACTTCGGTGAAAGTCACGGTGTCAGTGCAGGTGACAAAAGTGACATCCAGCCAGCCGGTGCCAGCCGGGGAGCTGCTGCTGGCTGCTGTAGGGCCAACCTCCATTGCCAGGCTCTGCTCCAGCTGCCTGGGCTCTTGTTTTCCTAGGAGTTAATGCAGCCAAGCCTCTCCTGTAAAAGCACAGCAGCAATACCAGCTTCTCACTGCTCCACCACTGGCTACCAGAGGCATCAGGCGTCAGTGCAGCTGAGTGATAAGAAAAAAAGCAAAGCGAAGGAAAAAAAAAACCAACCCAAAAACCAACAAGCTGGAGTCGTCCCTTTAAGCTCTCCTTCAGTACAACTTTGACAACAGCCATCCGCATGCTCTTTCAGCAGCAAGACCAGCAGCTGGTAAGAAGTCAGCACATACAGAGGTGTCCATGCGCATTTCAGCCTGCCAGGCATCCACAGCTGCCACTGCTGTAAAAGCATAGACCTGAAGAGCAAGCATGCATTTAGCGCATCCAGAACTTGTCCAGCCTCATGGGCTGCTCTGCCCCAACAGCAATACACTCCTAAGCAGAACTCGATCTGTTTTCACAGCTATGCCCTGTGCTGCTATGCTACCTGAACCACAGGTGTAGGTAGATTTAACCAAGTAGAGCCAAGTTCCCTGATCTGAAGCAGAAGCCCAATAAATGTACATTCTTATAAAACACTGAGGCAGTCAGCATTACCTTCAGGGATGGAGCCTGTGGGGATTAGAGAGACCTCTGGGTGTCACAGAATGTCCAGCCCTTGGCCTGGGCCAGCCAGGGGAAGATTCTGTTTCTGGCCCATAAAGGTAACTGGTACCATTCACAATGAGAAAGAATCAGTGCTAACCCATATGCATCAGTAATAGCTATTTAAACAACAGAAAATTGTGCATCCATTGGAATACAATCAGATAAAACACAGTTTTCCAGAATAACCATGTTGAGCTGAAATCAACAGGGAAAACAGTAACTTACATATTGATTATCTGAAAGAGAGGAGGACATCTCTTTGAAGCCCGTCCTGAATGACTGCTCAGGTTGGCTCAGAACCTCTGCTCTGAGGCATTCAGGCAGCAACCAAGCTTCCTGAAAGCATCCCATCTCACTGTCTCTTTTCTCCTCTCACCTTGTTCTCTCCTATTTGTGGAATAAGCTAAAACTTCTTGCATTGACTGGTTGGGGTTTTTTTTTGTCTTTTTTTCCCCCATGAGCATATCACAGGTGCCAAGAGGCTTCTCAGTAGTTCTTACACTCCTGCCTCTGAATATTTCTTTGTTGCTGTCACTGCTCTTCTTTGTTGTTGGCTGCTTTGCTATAAATGTTTTTTGTTGTTTGTTTATCTTGTATTTATTCTCAGAATCTTAGGCTATGGGCAGTCTGTGATACCTATATGTCTATAATTAGATGTCTAAAATTAAACTAATTATTTAGGAAAAAAATACTTATTTTTTAATCCTCTACAAAGGCGTGCTTGCTCTCTGAAATTTCCTTTTGGGTTTTCTCCTTCTCCCCTTGCCAGTATTAAGCAAGCTATTTGAATACCTCTGGAATGAATGGTGAAACAGCAGACTTTTCTGATTGAATCTCAAAAGCCTGTAGCAGGCAAGATCAAATCCCAGCAATTCCTCTGTGCAGAATTGATTCCTACAGCTGACTTTGTTTTCCCCCGTCAGGACTTTCAGAAATCTCTAAGAATTTCAGCTTGAAGAGATTTAGGTAGCTTTACAAAGGGAGAAGTTAAGTTTCCCCACTGTTTTAACATAAAATACTCTCAAATTATTATTCTAACACATATTTTTTCTAATGCATAACAAAACGCGATAGCGCTTTCTTAACCAAGCTGTTTCTTTTAAGTCTCACTTTGGTAGCACACCACAGTATAAGCATGCTTCTCAAATAGGAAAGATCAAACAACTTTGAGATAATCCTTAAGCAAAGGAAATGGATTATATGCAAGAAGAACAGGGAGGGCTTCTTTAAGAAGCCGCTTCATTGGCCATTCTCTTTACCTCGGACTCAGAAGCCACACAAAATTACGTTTCTCAAATCTAGCTTTGAATCAGAGGACAAGAGAACTTGAGAGCACACAGTGGGGAAACATGCAGCACATCTTGACCCCACAGCTGTGCTGTGAGACAGAAAACAAAATCACTTCACTGCTGTGCACCATGTTGATAATTTCCCCAGATTTGGCTGATATGAATCTTCTGATTTTTTTATCTTGTTTAAAAGAAACAGGTACATCTGAACACATATTTACTTAAAGCTCTCTATGTATGTGTGTATGTATAATTTTTTACTGAGAATTTACTTTGGAGTTGACTTTTCTGCTTTTATTCAGCATCAAGAGAAAAGTGCCAAAATATTACCCAAATCTGTATCTAGTGTCGTTGGAAGAGGAAGGTCAGCCTGTTTATCTGGAGCTTCCCCAGCATTTGCAGCCACCTTTTTTAGCCACTCCAGATAGAGACAACATCAAGTTTCTATATCTTTTAAGACATGAAGAAGTGAAAATGATCTTTTAGGATTTAACTTGTGAATTCTGAAGTTAGAGGCTGGCAGCTGAAGTAGAAGAGACTTTCTTTTATACAGAAAAATTTGTTTGACTTTCCTTCAGAATCTGTGCAGACTCAATTTTGATACATTCAAAGACTTCATGGAATGAGATGCCAGATCTCTGTCTGCCTGGGCCCAGCCTGATCTCTGACCAGTCAGCAACTATTGAGCTTTGGATTAAATCTCCAGACTGTCAGCATGTGGGTTCTTTCTACCAGTTGCACTTTTGGATGGAATCTTTTGCAAAAATCTGAACTTCACCCTCAGTAAAGAAATAAGGGCACAAAAATCACAGTGATGAAATCACAGAAATCACAATGATGAACACTTTACTCCTTTTCTATAGATAAATGAGCTTTAAAAGGACTTTTTTTCTCATCTCCATTGCTGTTTGTGATCTAAATTCAAGGTGGTCCATTTTACGAAAAAAGATACTTAGCCATTTATCTGTATTTGCAAATACACTCTTGCAGAAGAATAAGCAATTCCTAAGGAAATGTCTTTGAGAAGAAGCAAGTGGATGAAGAAAGTGCATAGAAAAATGCTATTAAATCTGCAGACTACGTTAGTAGAACTGTCAGCACCATGGAATTTAAAATCTCTTCATTCTCTTCCCCTCAACATAACCACCAAGATAACCATGCATTTTGCAAGGTCTTGATTCTCCACTCTCTCCTTCTGCTGTGCATTAAGATTGCTGTTCAGGGACAGAACCACAGGTAGCTTTAACCAAGAACAGCCAAGTTCCCTGGTCTGAAACAGTAGCCCAATAAATGTGCATTCCTATAGAACATTGAGGCAGTCAGCATCCTATCATTCACTGTACAACAGAGGAACACTCCTGCATTTTAGGAGCTGAGCGGCTAACTGTCACTAAATCCTGCCCTGATTTAAGAGCTGCTCCCCCATTGGAAGGCAGAGGCTGCCTGGAGCTGATAAACCTCTTTCTTCCTCTGCAGGGGATGGAGAATAATCTAATGGCTAAGCCACAGGCTTGCAGTTCAGAGAAGATATGCTCCTTGCTCCTCTGCAAGTTCCCACCTGCCTTTGACTAAGCAATCCCTTCCCCATAGCTATGGGCTCTGTCCGTGGAATGCAGGTGGTGGAACATACTCACACAAAGAACTTGAAGAATCCAGCTATGTGCTTAACTATTGTTTTTGACAGAGCCTCTGCAAACAGGGAGCTAACCCTCTGCTAAAGAGGACTGAGCCCTTGCACCACCACGGTCCTTGAGTGCCCAATCCGAACCAGTGAAATCAGAACCAAGCTCAAACTCCAAAGCAGGAGCAAGCAAACCCATCACTGTATCTGAGTTGTTCATTTCAGAGCAAACTGCAGATCTGCACTGAATTTCTGTTGGATAGCAGATTTAAAGAAAAACAGTTCTAGATGAAGTTTAAAATGAAAGTTTAAAACTTGGCAAAAAGCAACAAAAAAAACCCGAAACATTAGAACAAAGTTTCAGACTACATCACCAACATAATTCTCAGCTCAAATAGAGGCTACAAAGAGAGGAATGGGACACCAAGGAAAATCAGACTAATCTATCAATGCTGCAAGCTTGGAAAAAGTCTGGCAAAAACCTCAATGAAGGGCAAAAAACTGGGGAACCTTTGTGCCCAGGAGGAGGAGGATAAAAGAATTTTAAATGCCTGCATTCCAGTTCTCATTTCTGTGGTAGCAGTTGTGTCTGAAGTAATGAATACACTCTGTCTTCTGGCGATGAGCAGCAGCCTGGAAGTGCAGATTTACAATGGAGGTGGAAAGCTGTTAGAAGCATTGCAGGACGTTTTATTGCCAATTACGATTTCATGGCAGGGTTATTATTTATTAAATATAGAAGCAGTCAGCTGAATTCTAACTGCTCCTAAGCTTAATTCCACTTATAAAACAGCTGAAGAAATTATGTAGAGCTAGAGAAAAAATCCTTTGTCATAGCAAGCATTTCTCTCATGGCCTTCAAGTCTGCACACATGAACACACATGGAGAGTAAGAAAGTAGACCACACTTCGGAGAGGGAATGGGCTATGCTCTATTTCCCTTTAATAATGCCCAAGGTGCACTAAACTAAACTTATTGCTGGCACTAACAGGCTTGTGGGGGAAAATTTGAGCTGCATAAGTTCCTTGATCACCAAATCTCAGAGTTGAAGGCTCTCCTGAGAAGTACTTCACCCATGGCTCTCCACTCCAAAAGGAGCATGCAGACAGAACGAAATTTGATCACAAATGGAATCTGTCCCACAGCAGACCTGCACGGTACTGGCCACAATATACAACACACTGAACAAATAAAGCCATTTGATTGTCATAGAATCATAAAGGCTGCAAAAAGACCACTATATCATCTAGTCCAACCATCAGCCCACCACTGTCATTTACACTAAACATGTCCCTCAGTGCCATACCTACACTTTTCTTGAACAGCTCCAGGGATGGTGACTCTACCACTACATAGGAAAATTATTTCAATTTCTCACCACTCTGAGAAGAAGTTGTTCCCCAAATCCAATCTCCTGGTTCTGAT